TTAAATTTTAAATTTATTTTTTTAAAATTAATAATTTAAGTTATATAAATTTTAGAGTCACTAGAATATTATAGATTTCAAGATCTTAAGAAATTAGTTGAGATATACATAAATTAATCAAACATCTATAATTAAAAAAAAAAAGCTAATAGTATAACATCTCACAGTATGAAAGCAATGAAAGGCCGAAGATTTTTATCTTCTTTTTTGGCTTCCGCTGTCTACTTGTGGGATGGAACCCTTTATGTAAACAGATTTGCAGAATCTGATTATATCCATGTTAATTTTCTTGGTGAGGCCAAATTAGCAAAGTCAACTCTGCTTTGCATCGGCTAAAAGTGAACACGTTAAAAGGGGTTAAAAAAAAAAAGAAGTTTGGCTGGATGTGAAGAGAAGATTCTTTGAGGGCTTTGTTAATCTTGATTACTAAATAACTATGTCTTATTAATCTGCCATTGTGATAGGCTGTTTTTTATCCAATTATAAAGAAAAACTTGTTTAGTTAATAAAAATTGTTCCTAAATATAATTATATTTCAAATATTGATTTTCTAAAATAATTTATTTTTTATTCAGAGATACTTGTTTGTCATTTATTTTATATGTAAAAATCTATTTTATATTAGTTTTAATCAAATATATATTTTTTAAATCTATATTTTTAAAACTGCATCTAAAAGTATTTTTTTTTAAATTTATTTATTCTTTAAATTGTAATCGTAAAAACCTACGCGTTAAATAACTCTCCCTTTCTTTGTTTTTTTAATTAAATCTCGAGGACTATTTCGAAATTGGATCAAAATTTAATCAAGGTTTGTTGTTCTATTTAATATAATTAAAAAGAAAAGGAGAAAAATATAATTGACTTTCTTGTACTATCTTACTGAAAACTATTGTTGGCTTTCTTGCATATAACGCAATAATGCTTTGTAGTTTGATATAAAGGTCCAAAACAAAGCTGCTTTTTAGGTTGATCCAATGGAGTTCTGTAAGTAAATTACAGGAGTAAGTTGGATGGGAATTATTTGAAATCAAATTAAAAACTGAAATGCAAATGCTATTTTGTTTTATGAGAAAACAAAAGCCTACAACCCATTTGAACTTGCATTGTCTTTTGGACTAAACAGGAAAAAAAAAATCCTCGTGATAAACAAAACCCAGTAAGCTAGAAGCAACAGACTGATGGTTTTGCGAGGGAGAAAAATGAAATTTGATGAAGTTCTCCCATTCTCCTTTACCCTAAAATAAATTACCTTTAGAGTGATGATTGTCTTAACTCCATTATTGCCCTAAAATAACTTACCTTTAGAGTGATGATTTATGTAGACATTGCCCTGGAAATTAAAAAGTAAAAAAGGTTTAGTGATTAGAAGGTGTGGAGATTTCATCAACTACATTCGTAAGTACTTGCCCGTCTCTTGATGTTACAACAACAACCCTCCCTGCACCAATAAAAGGTACTTCAATTAAATGCTGGAATTGTCGTACATCATTCACATCATCCAAAACAAGGAGAACTTTCTTTTGGCAGAGTCTATCCCTGATGAAAGATGGTATATGTGGTGTGCCAACGCGAAGATTTTCTTCCTCCAGTAATTTTGAAAGAAGTTCATCTCGTAGATCATTTAATCTATCCTTGTCTGATTCCTGCCTTATGTTCGGAAGAAAGTGGCAGCCTTCATGTTGATGACTTGAGATGCTATTGTAGAAAGCTTCCGCAATAGTTGTCTTGCCTATACCACCCATGCCCCAAATTCCTATAATGCGGACATCTGATGACACAATAGATAGTGATTTGTTGATTTGCTCAATGCGTGAATCTACACCAACAAGACCTCTTAATTTGCTTGGGGATGCACGATTTAACCTTTTCCAGATAGTTTGCACAACTTCTCTTACTAGTTTGGCCTCCGGACTACAAAAAAATGAAAGAAGCATCTTTAACTCAAATTGTATCTTTACGTCGAATAAAAAATCTATAAGAAACACAGAACGGACTTGTGCCTTTTCAAGCAACAAGTACCATGAACTAAGAAGCACAAATGATTTACTGGGGAAAAAAAGGTTGAAGATGAGAATCTGTAGTTACCTAGTAACCTATGAATCCCATCCAGATATACTGGCTGGGTATGTCAAGTCAGCCCTCCACCTTGGCACCTTGTCCATCTTCCCCTTAAAAAGTTTTTCAAGCTCAGCAAATGCATCTCCAAAACTCCCAGTCTGTTCATCAACGTCAGATGGGTCCACATGATAGAAGATTGGTAAAACAATCTGCCCATAAGTCTCTTTGCATTCAAGTATTTTCTCCAGTTCATCCACACACCACGGGAGATGCATAGTTCTTGGAGAAAATTACCACAGAAATTCTTGATTCTTCAATCGTTTTCAGAAGGGCAGGGGTAATTTCTTCTCCTCTTTCAAGTCCATCATCAATGAAAGTCTTGATTTTCTTACGACACAATGCATCATAGAGACGGCTGGTAAAATTATTGCGCGTATCCTAGCCTTTAAAACTAAGGAACACATCATACTCCATTTATGAGCAACAGCAGATGAAGATGCCATATCAGGCAGTTACAAGATCGTGTCTTCCTCAATCACTAAGAATCGAAATCAATAAGTGCTCTCCTTTTTCTCCTAAAGACATACAAAGAGCACTCCACTTCAACAGCTGAACATTCGTTAAAAGAAATTGAAGTCTAATAGTACAAGAACCCACACAACTTATATTTATCAGAAAATTCCTCTAACTCTTAACGATGGATATATACTAGCTTAATTTGATATAATCAATCTTAACATGATCACTCGTCACTTGCTACCAATGCTAGCTTGCTATTACTTTCATTGCAAGAACAGTCACTAGCTGAGACAAAAGAGTTACAGGTGGAAGAATTAATACGTTCATTAAACAAACTTATCAAACTCGTATGTATAATCTTAAATAAAGAAGACGCATGAACCAGAAAGACTTACCAACAGATCAAGAACAGTTGACTTGTGTTTTCCATCAGCACCTAATACAAAGAAGAAGCTGAATATTGTTGATGATGAGAGACGATTTTTCTTGTCTATTGCCTTCTCCTACTCCTTCAAGTAAATTCTTACAGACAATCTAATCTCACCGTTATCTAAATGAAAGATTGTTTGATCAAGAAATATGTGAATGTGAGAAGACTTTGGGGTCAATACCAATTATTGATCAAGAAACAGGTGTGTGTGAGAAGACTTTGGAGTCAATACCATATACTTCGGCCAATGGACTTGCCAATAGCAACGGTACCCTGTCAAATGGATGGGCTTCCTAAAGCTACTTGTTTGGGTCTTCCAAATCAAAATCTGAACCTTTTTAAAGTCTAATAAGTAAAAAAATGCCTAGCATGATTACTTCCTGTTAATGAAATGAATCGTACTGTTTTTTTTAAGTTAACTGGTTATTATGATATATGCTCCATGTGTAATTCGTATTATTTTCATATTTAGATTAACGAAGTACTAATGAAAAAGACTATTTAAAAACATATACCAACATTGTAAAAATATATATTATATAATTGATGATAAAATAATGTTCATTTCAGCTGGTAATTCCACTAAATAACTTGCATCATCTAATTTTATAATTTAATTTAATTTTTATTTTCAAAGCAATTGATCCTTTAATATTGCTTTACTTTATGATTAGTCCTGGTTATTTGTTTTTCATGCATATGCATGAGATTCTAGATGTGTCGCGGAAATTTTTAATCTTTTTGTTAAAGCTTAGTTTGGGAAAGAAAAAATCAATTTTATTAATTTTAAATAATTATAACTTAAATAACCAAATTTGAACATTAAAGAAATATTTAGTCTTTTCTGTCAAAATTAGGGTTTGATTTGTAATGTTAGGGTGGTGTTCATGTCCTAATTTTTATTTTGATCCCTTAACTCTTTTTTTATTTATTTGATATCTTCACATGGGCTTTATTTGAGAATGACTTTGTAGTTTGTTTTAGATGCCATATATAATATAGGGATCTTACACTATTGGAAAAAAAATTATGAAACTTAGTTGATTCTTGGTTTTGATGAGTAAAATAAAATTCAGCTAATATAGAACTATTAAGTGTTTAAGGACTAAAATTAAAAATAAAACAAATATAAAAAGTTAGTAAACACGTAGGATAAATAGGTTGTGGTGTGTAGCACACGTACTAATGTTAGAGAGATATTAATTATGTCTATTTATGTTTTTTTGCATGAACACACTAAAGAAATTGCCCCTTTTTTTATTTTTATGACTTTGGGCATTTATCACAGGCTGATAAAAGAGAAAAGAGGAGTTCTGGTAACTGATTCTGGAATTCCAGAGGTAAAGTCATCATCTATTCTCAATGGGGTTTAGCTAGAAGCCTCGAGCAAAACAAGTGGTATTGTTGCACCAGCAGCAAAGAGTAGCGCTTCATGGGATGAGGATTGGGGACCTGTCTCAAAAGTATCTTTCACTGCACACCGGACTTCAGCAAGCAACTCATCACCCGCTCCATCTATTTCAGCTAATCAACAAGTTCAACTAGCATTTTTGCAATCAGAATCTTCCATGACATCTGCAGTATCCAGTACGCAGTCAGCCATATCATGGCCTCCGGTTGATATAGAATGGCCTCCAAAGACATCTTCAACTATTATTCCTCGGCTAGATGATGGGGGAGAGGAGGGGGGCTAATCTGATTTTATAGGTTCAGCTTTATGTGAAGCCATTACCAAAGCCTTGCTGGTTATTTATATAAAAAAAAAATAGTAAGGCCCTTTTTTTATATTGTGCAAGTTCAATATTTCCCTTCTATAGTTCTTTTCTGACATGTGCTCTATGAAAGCTACATTTGTAATCTATTTTGCTTTTAAATCTTGTAAATGACTAATTAAATTTTGCTTCGAGTAGGCAGCGCATAATTATTTTTGTTTTTGCTATGAATAAGGTAACTAAAATGCATAAAAATACGCAAGAATAAGGCAATCAAATTAAAAGCAACATTTCATTCATTCAAGCTCTGACATGAAAAAATGTGAACATGGATGATCCATATCTTGCAACACCTTCCATCTACTTCACTACCCCTACATATCTATCTGGTGCACCTATGATTGTTCTACTAATCCTTCTCTCACTAGCCTTAGTGAAATTATTGACTAATTCATCTTATTAGACTGTTGAGCAATGACACAGCTTGTTGATGGGTTTTAAGATAAAAAAAATCTAGTATCCATCATAATATGAGTCCATGCCTTCAGCCAAGATCTGCCAAACCAATCCACCACTAATTGTTCCTTCATTTCTTGCAAAGTCGTAGATGCTTGTATAGACTGTATCAAGAAAGAATCCCTCACACTTGTATTGTATCCTGGATCTTTATTTAATTTCCCAAACTCAGCAAACACCAATGGCTTCTTCAATGTGGTTTTCACTATAAGATTTCATAACTTTATCAATGGAAATATTATGTTAGAGTGTGATTACCAGTTCGTCAGTTATTTATTTTTCGACGTCTTCATCGATGGAATACATTCGTCGGCTTTCCTCTTATTGGTAATTTCATATTCCGTCGCTATATCAGTCGGAGAAACAAAAAAAAAATTTGTCAATGGTTTTACAAATGGAATTTGCAAGCCAACATTTCCAGCCCGAAATATACCGACGGATTTTACTCCGTTAGTGATATTGTGTTTAACTGACAGAACCAATTCGTCAGTAAATGTGTTGGTGAGAGTTTTGAATTACCGACCAAAATATTTGTCTTTAAATTCATCAGTAATTGTGGTAGCTACTATCAAATGCTGACGGAATGAATCCGTCGGTAAATCTATCAGTGAATGTGGCAATCAAATGCCGACGGATTCATGTCGTTGGTAAAAGCCTTTCTAGTACTTTTTCCTAAATATGTTTTTAAAAAATTATTTAGAATACATAATATAAAATTATACAAATTAATGGTAATTAACCAATTATGCAAATAAAATTCATATGAAACATCAAAAGCAAAAAATCAAAGTTAAATAATATTCATTACAAATAATGTATTTCAAAAAAAAAATTAAATGAAATTTTAAAGGTAAATAATGTTTATTACAAATTAATATAAAAGTGAAGCTAGAGGAGGAGGAGATCCTAGAGGAGGAGGCTAGTGGTTATACAGCCAAAAAGGATTAGGCGCACATGTTCCACTTTGTGTTGCAATGTTTATGATCATTTTGCCAAGCTGTTCATAAGCCACCTTTTATTGTTCATACTCCGCTCTTTATTGTGCTTGAGATGCTTTGAGTTGTTCAAACTCCGCTCTTTATTGTGTATAAGACTCTTTGAGTTGTGTGTACTCCGCTGATAGGTGGTCGTATTTTTCGGTGAGTTAAGTCGTGTGTTGCTACAAGGCCACGAACTCCTTAGATTGGGAGCTCCCAACTATTGAAACACTACTGTCCGACTACAAGTTGTCGATTTTAGTGTTGAAGAGCCCGTAAATCCTATTTTTATCAGGTCCACCTGACAATTCAACCTCCATCCATAAATCCAGATCAAATTTTGGATGGGTCAAAATATCATCCTCGTATTTCTCCCTCAACCAATTATTATAGGTCTCCTGAAAATAAAAAAAAAATTAATCATCATATTCAATTCCATAAACATAATAACTTACAAAATAAAATGGTTGAATAAACATACCACGAAATATTGAGCACGGTTATCAACGAACTGTTGCACTCCCTTTTGACGGTCTTGACTCTGCATGTGTATCTCCACAAACAGCTCAATCGGGCTCGACTCATGTCCAAGAGATGTAGCCTATAATGAAAAAAGATATATTATGACACGACTAAAAGGTTGATGTCTTCTCCCAAGTGCAGGAGTGTCGAAGTAATAAATAACCCGGCAAGACCGGGGTCGAACCACAGGGAGGTTAATTATACAAATTATAAACAACAATTATAAAACAACAATAACAACAACAGTA